GTACCCATTCGCAGGCTTCAGTGTTAAGACTGCAGGACTGATAACACTGACTTAACCTATTCCTCCTGTTTTCCACCAAACAGTGGCCATCCAGATTTGTAAGCAGAAGTAGCAATAGCTCTTCCCTTGTTTAGTTTTTATAGCCCAGGAATGAGCAGGGCTGTATTTGGAGCTGGAACGAATGAGCTAAAACCTTCTTTGTGGGAGAAAAATTCAACTTCCATCTTTCACCCTCAGTACATCAGTGCTCTTGCTCTCTCCTTCTCCCTCTCTTTTGCTCTCTCTCTCTCTCTCTCTCTCTCTCTCTCTCTCTCTCTCTCTCTCTCTCTCTCTCTCTCTCTCTCTCTCTCTCTCACTCACACACACACACACACACACACAGAGAGAGAGAGAGAGAGAGAGCGGTGCTTTGACAAGGCTCTTTCCCCCTCACTTCTTACCTCTTGAGGAAGGACAAGGAGTTAAGGCATACATATAAGCAACACCAGTGCTCACCGCCTTCTGCAAAACTTCTTTTCTGAGACATTCCCTTTTCACAGCTACTCCTAGGTGGGTGGGGTCCTGTTTATTTAGTCAGTTACTTTTTAACAGCTTAATGAACTCCATCAGCTGGTAAAATATGAAAATGAGTGATTGAGAAAGGAAAACCTTCTTAAGGCAGTTCTTTTGAACCACACTGCCTATAGGCACTTTAAATAGAACTGCAGTTAGAAGACTACCCCGCTCTGCCTGCCTACTTATACAGCACCAAAGAGAACCACATAGAATCATAGAAAAGTGACGTTGGAAGTGGTCTACAAGGCCATCAAGTCCAACCCCTTGCTCAATGCAGAAATACGATCAAAACATATCTGCCAGGTGATGATCTAAGATTTTCTTGAATGCCTCCAGGGTTGGAACACTCATCAACTCCCGAGGTAACTGGTTCCACTGTCATACTGCTCTAACAGTGAGGAAGTTTTTCCTGATATTCAACCGAAATCTGGCTTCCTTTAACTTGAGCTCATGGTTGCATGGCCTGCACTCTGGGATGGTCAAGACCAGATCTTGCTCCTCCTCTGTATGGCAGATACTCAAGGTGAGGCCTAACCAGTGCTGAATAGAGGGGGATTTGGAAACTATACATCTGTTAATGCAGCCTAAAATAGCACTTGCCTTTTTTGTAGTTGCATCACATTGTTGGCTCATATTTAAGATCCTTGGAATTGTGCAACTTCACAATGAGAGAATGTGAGTTAATTTACGTTTCCCTCAGTGTGTAGTTGCACCCTAAATCAAAACATTTCATTTTTTACAAGGATTGTGGAACTGCTCTGCCTTTTTGCCAATTAATTGATTTAATTCGAACTTCTATACAATGGTACCTCGCAAGACAAAAGCAATTCGTTCCGCGAGTCCCTCCGTATAGTGAAAATGATCATCTTGCAATGTGTGGTTTCCCATAGGAACGCATTGAAATTGGCTTCAGTGCATTCCTACAAAACACCTCGCAAGATGAATGCCATTTTTTTCGTATTGTGAGCATCACTGCAAGACAAAAAAAAAGTCTTGCATCACTGCAAGACGAAAAACTGTCTTGCATCACTGCAAGGCGAAAAACCGTCTTGCGAAGTGCCTAGGACATTGCAAAACACTTTCGTTTTGGGAGTTTTTCGTGGCGCGAGTCATTTGTCTTGCAAGGTACCACTGTATTGTTGAAACCTCAGTATTTTATTTATAGGCATTTAATGCCACTGTTTCTTCCTAAAAAAGGGTCCAATTACAACTACAACTTTGAAATATTGAAGGAGCTACTTTTAGGTAAATAAAAGCTGCCATTAATTAGGGCTGCTCAGATAAAATTATATGGCATAGGTTGACATTATAAGAATGAATAGTTTTTATCCCACATCTATAACTGCAATTAATAATGAGCTTAAAGACCACCAGTAGTGAATAATTAGTTGGACTGTGTTACTTGGCCTGCGGTGTAGATGTTTGTATTTTTAGTGGGGGACTTTTAGTGGGTGGGGAGTGTTTGGGGAATTTTATGTGTGTGTATGTGTCTGGTCTCTGGGTGTCTATGAATTTCGTTGTATGAGTATACTGTGTATATACTTACAATGACAATAAATTATGATGATGATGATGATCAGCAAGCTTGCATGTTATCTATTTTCCTAGCATACTACTCAGCTCCATTCACTTCCAATCTTTGTTTCATGACAAATATAGTACACTATTTTACTCGGATTATGTATAACAAATACAAAATAAATATGTTTGTCTTAAAGGTGCTTCAATACTTTTGTTTTTGTTATACGTGCTAAAATGGACTGACACAGCTACATCTCTGAAAACTCCAAAAGACCGTGTCTCCCTCTATGAGCCTGACCAGGCATTAAGATCATCAGGGGAGGCCTTTCTCTTGGTCCCACCACTTTCCCAGGTGTGTTTAAAGGAGACACAGGAGATGGCCTTTTCTGTCACTGCTCACAGACTCTGGAGCTCCCTCCAACAGGAAGCCAGGCTGGCTCCATCTTCACTGTCCTTCCAACAATCAGGCAAAGACCTTTCTCTTCAGACAGTGTTTTCCTTAGTGACTGGCAGCGTGAGAATGGTTTTATGCTCTGTTGCTTTTAAATATGTTTTTAGTATTGGTTTTATTTATCATTTTTAATATGATACTTGTTTAGTTCTTTTTTTAACCACTTTTTAGCTTTTGAATATTGTCCTTTTAATGATGTGAGCTGCCTTTGGTCCTTTTGAGGAGAGGGTTTCTTTTTTTAAAAAAACTCACATAAACAGGCGAATGGTGTTTTGCACTTCCCTGTAAGGTAGATCAAACCCTGGATTACGATATTGGTTGACAGGCAAATATAAACTATTGCTTGCCTGTCATTACAAGCTGCTCAGGGTTAAGTGTTTGGTGTGTGGCTGCTAGGCATGGGATTTTCAAATTTTTGTTTTCTACAACTACCAGAATTCGAGAATTCCCTCAGCTAGAATTCTGGTAGCTTTAACCAAAGAAATCTAAGTCCTCAGAGGACTTGCTCCTCGCCAGGGTTCTCTCTGCAGTGATAGCTATTAAACATGGAAAAGAACATGGGTAGAGATTTCTAAGCTCCATGGCAATTGCAAAACATTAAGGGATGACAGACTATCTGTTCATTAGGCTGTGTGGAGGGTACCTCTTAAAAAGTTATCAGTCCCCTAATGCTTTGCATTGTCCAGCACTCTCTCTATCTAAAACCGATGGAAATGAATCTCACAGATGATGTTGAGGTTGGTAGTACTGTGAGATATCAATGTTCACATTGAGGCAGTTTTGTCTAGGGATAGTTAAGGACTTCATGACTGTGAGATTGTCCAATGCAGCATCAGCCCAACACATATAACCAAGCAGATTTTAGATTTGGTTTCTCAGCTGGGCATGAAGAAGGTCCTCTGAAAGTGAGAGACTTTGAGATGGTTGTTTTTTCACAGTCAAGCTGTCTGCTGTTGAGATTTAGACTTACAATGCCTCTTCCCATTTCCAAGGGTTGAGGAGTTATTAGGGTGGCCCACTCCTGGAGTGTCATGGATCCTGAGGACTTCTAGGGGCTCTGCAACTTTACCCCAGCTGATAGAGTTGGTGGTCCTGCTGGAAGACCTGGCAGGATGCAGAAATGGCTTAAATGGTTAGCAGATCAATAATAAACATTGTGTTTATTTTAAACAATTACAAAGTTTTGAAAAAAAGCAGTTAATTATAAGAGCTAAAATGCATTCATAGATTACTAAACATTTTAACTAGCCATCCTGAAGAGCCATAAAGTCTAAAAGAGTACAGTGTTGGGTGAATCCCTTTTGGCAAAGCATTTCTCAAAGTGGGTGTAAACACTGAAGACTCTAGATCTTGCATGTCCTGGGCTCTTGAGTAATGAATGACCAAGTGTGCAAGGGAGGATATTTTAGGAAATACTGCAGGTCTTTGAGATATCCAAGTCCTAATTTCTGTAGCATTTAAGGATTAACATCAGTACCTTGAATTGGGCCCAGGAAGCTCAATTCAAATTGGGTTCAACTGTCAGTTGAACCCAATTTTAAAAAGCATAAAAAAGACACTGTAACAATGCATAGATAAAGTGGACTTCCATCACATATTTACACAAAAATACCAACCTAAGAAATTCCATCTTGCATGTTTTCTCCTTAAAGTCCTCCTGGTTATCTGCTAGCTAAACTAGAAGACAGATGTGTCACTAGTCTTCCATGTCAGCACTGGTGCTGATGCTTAGATATACAGTACTGTCATATCATGGAATGTGTCATCAGGCTCCCTCCCACCTGACCTTCAGGAAATGGGTAAAAACTATATTGTTTGAAGAGGTCTTTAGGCCCTTGTGGCCCCATGAATTGATTTTGATTTGTTACCCAGGTTTCTTTATTTTTTTGGATATCCTGATTTATTAATGGTTATTGGTTCTCTTTATGTGCTTCTGTGTGAGATAGAGTAGTTGTGTTCTAGCCTTTCTTAGCTGGCCAGAGTATTAGTTAAGCACTACTACTCGCATTTACATGCTTTTGAACTGCTAGGTTGGCAGGAGCTGGGGCAAACGATGGGAGCTCACTCCGTTGCGTGGATTCGATCTTACAGCTGTTGGTCTTCTGACCTTGCAGCACAGAGGCTTCTGCGGTTTAACCTGCTGCAGCAGCACATCCCTGCTTAAGTACTAAATAGGTGCAATATAAATGTACCAAAAAAACCCACAAAACCCACATAAATAAATATTGTTTTCCCCTAAAAAGTAAGTTCTTACTTTGTAGTGACCTTGGAAAGCCATGTTTTTTTTAAAAGGAACCACATTGCCATACATCTGTTTAGTCTTGTAAAACTGAGGGAGAGGCATGTGTAAAATCCAAGGTAATGGCATCTGCAGATAGCACCCCTTGAGGAGGTTGGGTAACCCACATATGGAACAGAGTTTTAGAGGCGATCACCCATGATTAATTACCATTTCCCTTTTGTGTCTCTCTAGGATTCAGAAGTGGTACCTATTGGACAACGGAGGGCTTGGTGCTGGTGTATGTGTTTTGGCTTAGCATTTATGCTTGCTGTTGTGATACTTGGTGGTGCCTACTTATACAAGTATTTTGCATTTCAGGTAGGTTGAATAGTTTTCATAACATGAGTAAATATTTGCTTTGTAGATACAACTGATGGTTTCCTATGGATTATGAAGCTTTACATTTATGGCTTAACTTTTCATATGAAAACAGGTTGATCAATTTAGTGTTCAAAAAATTGGTGAGGCCAACGAGAGAACAAATTATATTCTGAATACATTTTGGCTTAGGCTGGTAATAACTCAAATGAAGCTGATGAATATTTATATGTATTATCAAGAGCTTCACTTCTAGCATATGCTTCCCCTGGGAGGTTAGAAGTAAAGTTGACCTTGAGAATGAAAAATGTTCCCTATCCATACTTTAACTGGGTCATTAGGGATACCTGTCTTCCCCACTCCCCTGCCCTCCAAGGTTCTTGATCAATTAATGAGAAAAGATACGCAGAAGGATAGTTGATTCTTCCTTTGCTCATCTTGATTTCCTCTTAAGTTGGGAAGAAAGGAGGATGACAGAGATAATACAGAGTTCTCTTGCGTATATGCTCCTTTGATTTCATTTACTATTTTGTAGCAAGAAGGGAAGGCAGTGGTGGCTTCAGTCACCACCAAAGCATTGTTCCAAGCCTTCCACCTTCTCCAAAAATACAGGATATTCAGCATTGTGTGCTTAGAGATGCAAGAATGGCAAAGAGCTGGTACATGTTAACCCACCCAGAGTAGTGCTGTGACACTAATGGGAGTCTCTTACATGTGCTGACATTGACTTCTAGGAAAGTGGTGTTTACTTCTGTGGAATCAAGTATATTGAAGATGGCTTATCTCTAACTGACTCAAAAGGAGAAGTTTCAGCCCCTCGTTATCAGATAATTGAGGAAAACATCCAGATCCTCCAGAAGGAAGATGTTGAATTTATCAGTGTGCCTGTTCCAGAATTTGCTGACAGTGATCCAGCTGACATTGTTCATGATTTTCACAGGGTAAGGATCATCAGAAAAGTACTTATGTACCTAGAAGAGAACTGCAGTTTGGCTGAAGTAACATTATGATTCATAAAGTCATCAAACTGTAGAGTTGGAGGTGATCCCAAATGGCATCATGATGGAAGATGGGACCTTTTGACTGAGCATTGTATCATCATTAGCAGAAAGTCTGTTGAATAAGGCTATATGCAGACTTTTAAAAAAAGTTTAATGCTGAAGCAATGCACCAGGGAAGCAAAGACTGCCCTGTAAACTCTTAATTTCTGTCCTTAAAATTTCATTCTCAGAAATGTGGCCTGATGGTCTTGTCATAGAAAAGATGGCACTGACTTGATGAATGAAGTGTCTGAACACTTCAAGAGTGGGTCGAAACCAGTAACCCACTTTAAACTGTAGGAGAACTGTCAGAAAAAAAGTCATGGAGTTTGTTGAGACAGCAGACCAAGCCATGGAAGTGTTTGTCTAGCATCAAAGATCACTCAAACCCCTGTCATAATGCACTGTTGAATCTGCACACTCGGTTCAAATTGTTTGGGAAGCTGGACCTTAGAATGAGAAAAGTTAAAGAAATAGGTGTGCAGATTTTTGCATTTTGAACTGCTATTCTCATATGGGCTGATGTTATTGTTCTAGTGACTCATTTTCTATCCAGGTGCCTTCTTGACTAATAACTCTTAGGTGCATCCATGTCCACAGAGTTGCTTCAGTAAGACCCTAAGCCCTTGAGATAGTACCGTCCGGGAAGAGAAAGAAGACATTTTGACAGCTGTCAGAAATAGCCCCATTTCATTACAGAACTTTGATGAATAACTTTTTTGAATTTATCTACCACAGTTCTCTATGGCCAAGAAAACAGAACAAAACAGAAACAGAAACAAAAGAATTCTCCAGTAAAGAGGGACTCTTTACCATAGAGATCTCCTTACCAGATCATTCATAAGCTCTGACAGGGAAATGTTACTATTAAACACACGGTGGGGGGTAAAGCAATATTTACAATATCATTGGGCTTCCTGTCCAAAGGACATCACAGAAGATTAAGATGCATTTGCTGCAGAGGATATTATGCCTTTTGTATCTTTATTGCTAAGTCTGCCTCTTTGTTGCTTATTAATATGTTTAATTGTAGATTTTGTTGTTGATGTCTGTAATTTAATATAACTGTTTGTATACCGCCCAGAGAGTTCCTGTTCGTTATGGGGCTGTATGAAAAATGTTAAAAATTAATAATACTGAAGCATATAACCTTAAAAGTAGCAGAAGAATGGATGGAAAGGTGGTAGAAACAACAAAAGGAGAATCACCCTTGCTGGCATAGGAAGCTTCTGCTATCTCTAATGTGCTGGGAGAGACATGAGAGAGTGTAAGCTGTAAGAGACACTTGAACAGGTTTTGAAGAGCATGGAATGCATTTCCAGGAAAGACAGAAGTACTGACTAGATAGAGGTTTTCTGCAGTCTTGTTTTTAGGAGTAATTTATATTGCTGTTCTGTTAACTCTGAATACATGTAAATATCTGGTGTAAATATCTGGCATTGATGGGGGTCAATGAATATTGCTTTTTTACTTAGCCCAGTTCCAGTTTGAGTTTTCAAGATACACAAGTTTAGACAAAATTTGATTTTTGTTAACATGTCTACAGAACAAAGGCTCAAATCCTATTGCTTAAGCATAGTAAATCACACTAGAGTAGGCTCATTGAATCAAATTAGTAAGTCAACTCTTCTGCAAGATTCACTTATTTGAGTGGGTCTACTCTAATTTCTAACAACTGTCTAACAACAAGGCCAGTGGAGGTGATGGCATTCCAGTGGACCTATTTAAAATCTTAAAAGATGATGCTGTTCAGGTGCTACATTCAATATGCCAGCAAGTTTGGAAAACTCAACAGTTGCCAGAGGACTGGAAAAGATCAGTCTACATCCCAATCCCAAAGAAGGGCAGTGCCAAAGAATGCTCCAGCTACCGTACAATTGCACTCATTTCCCACACTAGCAAGGTTATGCTCAAAATCCTCCAAGGCAGGCTTCAGCAGTATGTGGACCAAGAACTCCCAGAAGTGCAAGCTGGATTTCGAAGGGGCAGAGGAACTCGAGACCAAATTGCTAACATTCGCTGGATTATGGAGAAAGCCAGAGAGTTCCAGAAAAACATCTACTTCTGCTTCATTGACTATGCAAATGCCTTTGACTGTGTCGACCACAACAAACTATGGCAAGTCCTTAAAGAAATTGGAGTGCCTCACCACCTTACCTATCTCCTGATAAACCTATATGTGGGACAGGAAGCAACAGTTAGAACTGGATACGGAAACACTGATTGGTTCAAAACTGGGAAAGGAGTATGACAAGGCTGTATATTGTCCCCCTGCTTATTTAACTTACATGCAGAATACATCATGCGAAAGGCCGGACTGGAGGAATCCCAAGCCAGAATTAAGATTGCCGGAAGAAATATCAACAACCTCAGATATGCAGATGATACCACTCTGATGGCAGAAAGTGAGGAGGAATTAAGGAAGCTTGTAATGAGGGTGAAAGAGGAGAGTGCAAAAAACGGTCTGAAACTCAACATCAAAAAAACAAAGATCATGGCCACTGGTCCCATCACCTCCTGGCAAATAGAAGGGGAAGATATGGAGGTAGTGACAGATTTTACTTTCTTGGGCTCCATGATAATTGCAGATGGTGACAGCAGCCATGAAATTAAAAGACACCTTCTTCTTGGGAGGAAAGCGATGACAAACCTAGACAGCATCTTAAAAAGCAGAGACATCACCTTGCCAACAAACGTTCGAATAGTCAAAGCTATGGTTTTTCCTGTAGTGATGTACGGAAGTGAGAGCTGGACCATAAAGAAAGCTGACCGCCGAAGAATTGATGCTTTTGAACTGTGGTGCTGGAGGAGACTCTTGAGAGTCCCCTGGACTGCAAGGAGAACAAACCTATCCATTTTGAAGGAAATCAAAGCTGAGTGTTCACTGGAAGGACAGATCCTGAAGCTGAGGCTGCAGTACTTTGGCCATCTCATGAGAAGAGAAGACTCTCTGGAAAAGACCCTGATGTCGGGAAAGTGTGGCGGCAAGAGGAGAAGGGGACGACAGAGGATGAGATGGTTGGACAGTGTCATCGAAGCCACCAACATGAATTTGGCCCAACTCCAGGAGGCAATAGAAGACATAGCACGATTTATTATGCTAAGCAACAGGATTTTGTCCAATGTATCAGTCAAATGGCCATAAAAATTAAATTCAAGATGAAGCATAATGTGTAAAAAGGGTATCTGCAGGCCGAGGTAGAATAGGTATTCCTTGGAAAGTTTCAAATATTCATTTTTTGAGAGAGCAGCACAATAGGAAAAGTGAAGTGATTGATTAGAACATGTTACTGACACATAAGAGTCTTGAATATTCTAAACTTACTAACAGTGCTATTCATGACATTTTCTCATCAGAGGCTTACAGCTTATCTAGATCTCAACCTGGATAAGTGTTACGTCATTCCTTTAAACATGTCAATTGTTATGCCACCTAAAAACTTCTTGGAGTTGCTGATCAACATCAAGGTATTGTTTATTTTCGGGAGTCCATATATTCAGTAATATTTGTCTTCACTGAGCTTAGAGAAATCTGAGTAAAACATGAAGAACAGAGAATGTCCTGGGGTACCACTTTATGAGTGGAAAGGGTGGCTTGCAGGCAGCAATATTTTGAAGCTTTTTTTTAAAAAAGGATAGGTATTGCTTGCCCAATGCAGATTCTGCTTGATACAGAAGACTTTTTTAAAAATCTTGCATACTCTGTGGATCATGGTTCTAATGTGTTGTAATAAGTTGTGATCCTACCTTTGTCTCACTGTGGAGTACAGAGAATTAAATAATGTTGCTTCAGACTGATTTTTCTAGTTAGTGTGTGTCGGGGGGTTGGTGTAGTTTTTAAATATACAGTATGCTTCTCATCTATGCAGGACAGATCAAAAGATAATATTAACCAGAATACTGTATCAATCAAAAGTGAAAAAAAGAACTGTGGTTCTTGTACATAATCCAATGACAAGGGTACGTGAAAACTTTATTAGACCACTAACAAATCACAAACAGATGCTATGCTGGGCCTCAAAATGAGGGCTGCAGAGTCAAGCAAGGAGGGTTTTAGAATTCAGAACCAACATTCTTTACCTGATTTATATGAGCCTCAGTTTGTCCTGGGCCCTGGCATAGATGTCTAGCCATGATTTTTAGAACTCTTGTTTTTTCTGCACCATTCACAGAGAAGTGGTCCCCAGCTTGATGAAGGCCCATATGGCTATTATTTACATGTGATTCTTTGTGGTTTAATAGAGGTATCACCTACCTTTGCCTTTAGATTCTAAACGTCCAACTTTGCCTCTTGGGTTTCTGTTGAAAATAGCTCTTATCTTCCATTTATAATTACATGTTCACTCCCTTATAATAATACAGATTAGCTTTTGAGCAGCTTGTCTTAAACATTCATAGAAATATAAAAATAATATCCTTATTTCATATAGTCAAGCAATTGCTGTATTCATATCTATAAAAATGTGTTAACTCAGTTTACACTTTCTGGACAATAAGTAAGGTTCGACACAGTATGTGTCAGAAGACACAATTTAGAATGAGATGATTAGGTTTCAGGTTCTTCTTCGTGGTTTCTGTGAATGCACACTCATGGGTTAATCTGCACCTGCGCAGAGGTTTTTGGAATCTTCTAGGTCTGATTTACCTCTTCCTTCCGATCCCCCTACTTCTATCATAAAACTCCATCAAGAACATTCCAACGCAGTTCTCATTGCTCTGTGGCGGCCGAGACAACCATGGTTCACCATGCTCCGCTCCATCTTCGTAGACTTCCTCCGTCTTCCCCCAATACCTCACCACCTCACCCAGAATCAAGGTCACACCTTCCATCCAGATCGTCTCTCACTCCACCTAACAGCATGGAGGATTCACCCTCAATAGCCTTCATCCTTGCTCGGGCTAGAAAACCTGCCACTACATAGCTGTATTCTTATAAATAGGCTGCCTTTCTTAAATTTGTAACTCAGTGTCACTTTCCTGATGCACCCACAATTCTTCACACGGTGTTGTAGTTCCTTAAGCACCTCTTTGACAAATGTTTATCCTTGTCTACTATCAAGGTCTATCTGTCAGGCATAGTAGCTCATCAACTGCTCAATTCTTCAGCCTCTTCACTCTTTCGTCACCCTACGATCAAACAGTTTCTTAAGGGGGTCTCTCCAATCTACTACCCAATAGACCACACCTCTACAGACTGTGCCACGGAGTCTATTGTCACCACCCTTTGATCCCCTCACTACGACATCTGATCACCTTCTTGCATACAAGACCCTTTTTCTTGTGGCATCAACTGCTCAATTCTTCAGCCTCTTCACTCTTTCGTCACCCTACGATCAAACAGTTTCTTAAGGGGGTCTCTCCAATCTACTACCCAATAGACCACACCTCTACAGACTGTGCCACGGAGTCTATTGTCACCACCCTTTGATCCCCTCACTACGACATCTGATCACCTTCTTGCATACAAGACCCTTTTTCTTGTGGCTATTACTTCTACCCCTCACTACGACATCTGATCACCTTGCATACAAGACCCTTTTTCTTGTGGCTATTACTTCTGCCCGTTGGGCAACAGAGCTTGCTGCACTCAGAGTCAACCCACCCTTTCTGCAATTTTATCCAGACAAACTAACTCTGTATCCTGATGTTTCCTTTCTTCCAAAGGTGGTTTCTGAATTTCATCTAAAACAACCCATCATTTTGTCCACCTTTTTTCCTTCATCTGCTACTAATTTAGAGCATTCACTCCACCTCTTAGACGTTCAGCGAGCGTTGGCTTTCTATGTTTCTAGAACCACCTCTTTCCGTAAATCCAAGAGACTGTTTGTTTCTCCAAATGTACCACACAGAGGATGTGTTATCTCCTCCCAAACCATTTCTAATTGGCTTGTATCTACCATTCGCCTAGCATATCAACTGGCAAATAGCCACTTCCAGTGGGAATCAAAGCTCATTCCATGAGGGCAGTGGCTATTTCTGCAGCATTCCTCAGAGGCGTTCCTGTCCCTGAAATCTGCAGGGCTGCTACGTGGTCCACTCCGTCCACCTTTGCCTCTCATTACCGCTTGGACCTCTGGGCTAAGTCGGATGTTGCATTTGGACGAGCCGTCCTGTCCTCTGTTCTTCCGCAGCATCCCTCCTAAAGTCAGGTAAGCTTGCTTATCACCCATTAGTGTGCATTCACAGAGACGACAAAGAAGAAAGAGAGGGTACTTACCTGTGACTCTGGTTCTTTGAGTGGTCATCTGTGAATTCACACTTCCTGCCTATCCTCCCCTCTGTCTGTTTCATTTGATTCAGCGGTGGGCAGTTTGGAAACTGAGGCACTAGCTAGGACAAGTAGACCACATGCACTAGGGGGGCAGTCCTGGTGAATGAGTGTTAAGTGCTAGAAGATTCCGGAAACCTCTGCACAGGCGCAGATTAACCCATTAATGTGAATTCACAGATGACCACTCGAAGAACCAGAGTTATAGGTAAGTAACCTCTCTTTTCAGGTTTGTGTGTTCTATTCTTACCCATGCACTCTTTCAAAAATAAGAGGAAGAGACCTGACATTTCTGTTTTTCAGCTTTAACCTAATCCAAGCTCTTTATCATGCCAGCATTTGGTTAAGTCATGTTTAGTTATAGTCCAAAGTCTGCACTCCCTCATGGCACCCTTATAGCATGGGGCAGGAATTGTGCAAAAATAGGTGGGCTAACACAAAGTGAGCAGTGTCACCACTCTGCCTCTCACCCAACCATGCGTTCACCCATCTACACAGACACATGCTGTTTCATACACGTACACAGAAAGAAAGTTTAGGATTGTCACAGCTAAAAAGAGATCAGTTAATTCTCCCTTTCAGTGCTCTGCACCTTTTCTCCTTATTGCAACTCTACCCCAGAAAATAATCTGTGTAACTGAGCAATAGTTGTAGCAAAGGTATTAACACAAAAACACAAAAATAAAGCCTAAGTGTTGGTAAAGGGACAGAGGGTCAAGGAGGGCAGGCTATGGGGATGATCAAGGATGCCACACAGTCTCCTTTTTTTGGTATTAAACTCTTGCAGTTTTGTTTTGGTTGCTGCAGGCTGGGACATATTTACCTCAGTCATATTTGATTCATGAGCAGATGATAGTTACTGACCGTATAGAAAATGTGGATCAGCTGGGCTTCTTCATTTATCGCCTCTGTCATGGTAAAGATACCTACAAACTGCAGCGTAAAGAAACTTTGAAAGGTACAGTATATACATGAATAAAAAAGACAAATTGTCAGTTCTGTTGAGGGTATTTTTTTTTTGTGAAATGCCAGACACTTTTGTGGTCATCACTTCAGTCTTCTGTACAGTAGTGCCTCGCACAACGGGCGCCTCGTAGAGCGATGAATTCGCTCTACGAGGCCGTTTTTGCGATCGCAAAACGATGCCCGTATAGGCTGTGATTCACAGAGCGAAGGTCGGTAAGCTGCTCGCTTACCGACCTTCGCTTTGCGACCCGCCGATCAGCTGTCCGGTGGGTCCAAAATGGCCACCGGAACAGCCGAAAGGGGCCGAGGCGCAGCGTTTTCGCGCCCTTGGTAAGCAAGGGGAGCGCGCGAAAACGCTGCAGAAGCCCCGAAATGGCTGCACGCAGTTTTGGAGCCCCTTTGCTTCCTTTTAATCCGGTCCTGCCTAACTGATTCAGGCTCTTCTACAGAACTTCTCAAGATGCGCATAAAAATGAGAAAAACCCTGGGAAGCTGATTCCTTTAAAAAACATAAAATCTAAGAAAGGTTGCACGGGGGCTGGAGTGAGCGTTAGTTTGCAATGAAAAGAGGAATCCTAAGTGCCAGATTCTACCCAACTCCCCCAAACTGGATCCTTCCCTCCCACATTCTCTCGGAAATCTAAAACATTAGTGACTGTTTTAAAACACCTGAGAAGACTGTCTGCAAGCCGGTAAATTAAGTGTTGGGACTTTGACATCCTTCTAACATATGTTCCTGCACATATTGACTGAAATCCTTGTTGCACAACTTTACAATGCATAAGGCTGATGGCAATTGTTCATAGATTAAAAAATGATTCCTGCTCTTCATAGTTCAGAGGCTTCTTTTGGGATCCCTTTCATCATGGGGGAGCCATTGGGGATTTTATTTATTTCATTTTAAATGTTTTTACTCCATCTTTCTCCTTAAAAGGAACCAAGGCAGCTTACAACATTAAAGGACAGTACAGTAGTACCTCGGGACATTATGTCAAGTGAAAAATTGGTAAACTGAAACGCAGATTGCCACAGGAGTGGGGGCGGTGCTATAGACCTCCAGGCACAGTGCATCCTGGGGAAACTTTCTTTGTAAACCGAAACAAACAAAACGATGTAAACTGAGGCATTATTTTCAATGGATTTCCGTTTGTAAACCAAAAATTATGTTAACTGAGGCGTTTGTAAACTGAGGTACTACTGTATTTAAAAGCTAAAAACAGTAGCTATACAAATATTTAAAAAGAATTAAACAAGTATCATATTAAAACAGTAAATAACAGGAATGTTGGTAAGTCTTTGGACCTCAGTCCCAAATCTGAGTCCAAGTTTTTGCTAACAAGGCTTGAGTCAAGTCCTGAGTCTCAGGCCTCAAGTATGAGTTCAAAGTCACGGATGGAGTCTGGGAGGGGACATGAGCATGCACATGTGCAGAAGCAGCAGTTCTGGCTTCCCTTCCCAGAGGAGGCCCTTGCCTCTGCACATGCTCAGAAAGCAGTGGGCCTGGCTCTGCCCCCTCACCTACCTGCTCTTGCTGCTGCCACACCCCCTCTCCACTGCCTATCTGCTCCTGCTACCACCACTGCACCCCATTTCCCATCTCCAAACTGCTCCTTCCACCGCCCCCCCACTCTCTTGCCAACCCCCTCCCGCCTACCTATTCCTCCTGCCCCTGCACACTGCTATCCTTAGAAGCAAGCAGTAGGCGAAGCCTGATGCTTCTGGCATACTGAGAACTCTCAAGTCACAAGTCCCAATCCCTGGTAAATAAAATCAATACTAAAAAACATGTTTAAAAGCAACAGAGCACAACAATCCATGGAAAAACCCCTCTCAGACCACCAGTTATTAAGGAAAAGCCTGTCTGAAGAGAAAGATATTTGCTTGCAGAAGGACTGCAAAGATAGGGCCAGCCTCGCCGCCTGGACCTCTTCCTCCTCCTCTGCCGCCTCGCAGGGCCGTGCTCAGTCCTTGGCCCTGCAGGGTCGGTTCCCTTTCTCCACCAGCAGGCAGCTCCTGGGCGGCTGTCGAAGAGCAGCATATGGCTCGCCCTCTGGGGGCACATGCCTCCGGCTCCGGCAAAGCGTCACAACACCTGCCGCACAGAGGGCAAGAAGCTCCTCCAGGCCCCCTGACAGTCTCTTCTGGGGATGGGGCTTGGGGGGGGGCGGCACAGCGTCAGGAGGCTGAGCCTGGCCCAGGCCGCCATTATGGCCATGTCCTCCGCCCTAACAGGGCCCTTGTATTTGCTGTTATGAGAGATACAATCTTGTCAGCTAAAGGAGGAAATGAAATGAATGACAGCATGTTGTATTATGCCATCCATATTTACATACTGCCACGTAAGTGTAAAGACTGAAGAGATGTTTTGCCTTCAAATTAGCTGGAACTGCAGGAGGTATAAGAACTTGTTTAGCATTATGGCCTGGTTGAGAGAATTGAGTTCTTCTTGTTCACAAAATATAAATTATACTCATAGACACAAGCAGCTCACATTCTGAGCATGGAGAGCCTGGTCCAAATTAGAAAAAATTACCACTGCTGTACTTTGAATAGATGGTATTCGCATAAAGGATGAAATTACCCCCCAATTGTTCCCCCCCAATTGTTTTATTTTCGTATCATAAGGGAGGGAATAATGGGGACAGGGATAAAAGGGGAGTGAGATTAAAAAGGTACCTTACAAGTTATTAATATATTTCCCATATAGTATATGATTCATTCAAATTATACTTTTTCAGTATGTTATACAATCTAAATCAGACATACTTAGTGTTAATCTAGTGGAAGACAAGAGGGCCTGGCATGCTCTGGTCCATGGGGTCACGAAGAGTCAGTCACGACTAAACGACAACAAAATCATTAGTTACATGGCTGTTTATATTTTTATATTATCAGTTGCTCTTTCTATTTTGAAACCATACATATAGTTTTTCCCAACATCGCTGGTGGTTCTTTTTCATTGTTTCATCTAGCCATTCTGATAATTTGTCCATTTCTGCCATTTCAAAAATTTTGGCTATCAGTTCCTCTGTTTGCGGTATCTCAGGCCCCTTCCAGTGTTTTGCAAAAGCTAATCTTGCGGCTGTTATAATATGAATTCTTAAATAAGTTTTTGTGAGATCCATTAAGATATTTAATAAAAATAATTTGTGTTTCATAGGAACTGGGACCAGGTCAAAGGAGTAATTTTGTGGTTAAAGTATAAGTCTTACTTATAAGGCAACATTTATTTTGACTGCTTGCTTTTGCTAGAATCCACAAACAATATTGGATCAAAACTGAATTTGAGGAGCATCTGTTTCAGAACAGAGTTCCTAGAACTATGACTCCTGCACTTTTTATGTTCATAACAGAATAGTAACCCTAAATAACAAACCTACATGGGTAACAATATCAATTACACAATGTTTCAAATAAGTATAGTTAATAAAGTTTCACTGAACAATTGTGGGCCATATTTTTCCCAATAAAATAATCTGACATCCTGTTTTGTCTCCTTTAACAGGAATTCAGAAGCGTGAAGCCAACAACTGCCGAATAATTCGACACTTTGAGAACAGATTTGCTGTGGAAACAATCATTTGTGAAGAATGAGAAATACTATTGTAACAGATGACCAAAAAAAACCCCACCCTTCATATTATGTGCAGTGATTTTGATTTTAAATAATTTATGTTAGTAGACAAGGCTTTATATATGAATCCCAACATTTTCCATCTCATGTCAAACCTTTATAATTTTTCTTCACATTTTGAAGCAGTGTCTTTTTGTTTCTTTGTTTGAAATACGGCTGTATAAAATCTTAGCTGTTAGTGCATTATAAGAAATGGACCTTGAAAAAAATATCAGGTCAGTAATAAATCTCAGCTCATAGTAGAATTGGATAGGAAAGTTCTTCTACATTAAAATCAAAGGCAAGATATCAAAACAGATTATAACACATAAGATTTTAAGCAACATATTGTGATGTGGTTGAGTTCCGCATATTCAGGAAAGAATTTATAATAAAAGTGCAAATCTTTTGGAGTTTTTTTAAATGTAGTCACATTTAAATTTGATTTCCAACTGGCTATTCTAATACAAGTGTCTGCTGTTACAAAGTTAGGCAGTAACTTCATGTTATTGAGATGTATATAAGTTATGTATGTGCAATTGAAAACAAATATTACAACTTGTTTGTCTAAATATTTTTGGAAATTTTATTTTATTTCTATAGGTTGCTATATTGTGGAAAGTTTTTCTGGGAATTTTAATTTAGAACACTGAATATTAATAGTAATCATATTGTAGAAAGGAACATTGGTGCTCGAGATATTCATTTTATGTAGCAGAAGGAGGACATCCTTAAGAAATGGGTTGTCCCTCCTACTTGCTTCCCCAGGCAGAACTGATCAGCCAATCAGTGGTAGTAGGAATTCCTTAAGAGGGAAGGACCAAACCTGACTGAACCAATCTTCATCTCCAGCCACCGGAAACAGGGAATAATATAAATAATACAATACTGTCGAGAGAAAAAACATGGTAGGTGCCCCTCTGAGGACCTGGTAATAGTAACTCAAGGGAGGGGAAGGATGTCCTCCTTCTACATAAAATGAACATCTCATGGTGAGTATCAATTTTCCTTTTCCTGTAGCAGAGGAGAATATCCTCGAGAGATGGGCCTTACCAAAGCCTAATGCCCTAGGGTGGGATCAAAAAGAGGTCCATCTACCCCCTACAGGTATGAAAACCATTTGAATTGGACTTTTCTCCCAATGCCACCTGGGGGGGGGGTTATCAGTTCATGCGGTAATGCCTGACAAAAGAAGGTGCACTTTCCAAGTGGCGACCTTGCAAACATCCTCCAGCTGGTATGAAATGTAGCTGATGTGGCCACATTTCTAGTAGAGTGAGCAGTGATGCCTCAGTTCAGCCTTGAACCAGAACACTGCAGAACCACCAAAACAGAGATGATTTAGAAAATCCTTTTTTCCCATAGTGGACGTTGGAAGGAAAGAAACAAGGCATCAATATGCGTGAAGGGTCTAAACTGTCTCAGCATTTGTTTTCTGTGTGTGTCCTCCTTACATCCATTTATGCCAAATCTTTTCAAGAGGTTTGAAGGTGACTATAGGAAGGCAGTATCAACTCTTGTGATCTGTGACAAAAGAAGGGACAAAAATAAGAATTGAGACATATGATAACTGTATTTTTATCTTTATAACTAATACAGTACATATGTCTGGTTGGGCCAGTAATGCTCATAGCTCATATACCCTCCTAGCTGACATGATAGTCACAAGGAAAAGAGATTCTCATATTAGACGTTTCAAGAAAGTCTGCTAAAGTATCTCAAAGACTGGCTTTGTCACAGTTTACAGGACAATGTGGAGACCCCAGGTCAGAAACCTGCAGAGAGATACTCCTTGAATTAAATATCTTGATATCTGAAGTCTGATCCATAGAGCTTCCCTCCTCTGGAAGAATGGAGGATTGAGAATGGAGGATAAGGCTAACTGTCTCTTGAGGGTATTATGTCTCAGTCCTTTGTCTACTCAATCCTGTAGAAAGACAAACTTGCAACAGAAAACACAGGATTGTTGCTTCTGCTCCTATAGCACCTTTGGAACACCTTTCCAGAGGATGTACAGATGTATGAGGTAGAGTCCTTGCACAAAATCAAGATAGTTCCTATGGCCTTGGGTACAAAGTCCATATGCTCTGGCCATATCTTTTCAACAACCATGTGTGAAGGTGAAAACATGCCAGGTCCTGGATCAGGTGTTCCTGACGAGGAAGAAGTGCAAACCCCAACTGTAAACTGGGGAGCCTGGAGAACCAAGCCTAACTTAGGCTTGATAGGCATTTCTAAAAAGTAAGGCTACACAGAATGGTATTATATTTCGTTGTTTCTTCTGCCATGTTATTTCTACCAATACCCTTTTTGTGAAGGAATAATTTGGCTTTTACAGAAGCACTGTCCCAGACAGTATTGTTTAAAATGCCGAAGAGGCAAAGATGATGATGGCTGGCAACTTATTAACAGGAAGTCTAATGCTGAGTAGCCTCATTAAACTCTAGTGTGTAGGAATTACAGCTGTGTGTCTATGCTACCTGGGCTGGGTAACTGGGTTTGGTCAAGGTCATACATCTCACTTTTCAAGACACCGAGTTATGGAACCCATTCCAAGTGATACGGCCCCACATTCAGGAAATTGATATTCTCTTTTTCAGATAATCCATCGTCCAATTTCTATATTCCTCGGACCTCCTTCTTCATGACTGTAAACCAATTACAGTAACTCAAAGAGGTGTAACTGTCTGATCCGTCCACAATTCTCATGGAGAATATTTCCATTCCAATTAGAAAATAATTTGTTGGGTCTTTGCACTCTGGGCCTCTTCATCCTTGCATTCTTATCAGGTTTCGTGCTGTACCAGCTTGGCTGTAAATTAAGAAAAACAACCTCTCTGCCTTTCTCACATTCCCATGTCTTCAACCCTTCACTTTTAAAATTTAACAGACTCAATTTTCTTTCCTTCTCATTGACTACAAATTCCACTCTCCTTTAATCTCTAAGTCCCATTCTCCTTCAAACTCATGACAGTACTGGATTGCATTTTCATAGAATGGAATTGGAAGGGGCCTATAAGACCATCAAGTCCAAACTCCCTGCTTCCACTGTCGATTTTTTTCCTGATATTCAACTGAAATCTGGCTTACTCTACCTTGAGCCAATTATAACATGTCCTGCACTCTAGGATGAGTGAAAACAGATCCTGCCCCTCTACATGACAATCTTTCAAGTATTTAAATGCTATCATATTTCCCCTCAGTCTTGTTTTCTCAAAGCTAAATGTGCCCAGTTCTTTCAATCTTTCCTTTGAGTTCCAATTCCTTGATCATCTCCTCTGAACTTGTTCCACTTTGTCACCATCCTTCTTAAAGTGCAGTGGCCAGATCTGGACACATTATCCAAGATGAGGCTTAAACAATGCCAAGTAGAACCAGTACTTCACTGGATTTGGAAACTACACTGATCAGCCACGATATTTAAACCACCTGCCTAATATCGTATAAATCCCCCTTGTGCTGCCAAAACAGCTCTGATGCATAGAGGTATGGACTCCAAAAGACCTCTGAATGTGTTTTGTGCTAGCTGGCACCAAGACATTAGCAGTAGATTCAAGTCCTGTAAGTTGCCAGTTGGATCTTCCGTGCATCGGACTTGGTGTTCTAGCACATCCCATAGATGCTCAGTCAGATTGAGATTGGGGGAATTTGAAGGCTAAGGCAGCACCTTGAACACTTCATCGTGTTCCTCAAATCATTCCTGAATAATTTTTGCAGTGTGGTAGGATGCATTATCCTGCTGGAAGAGGCCACTGCCATCAGGGAACACCATTGCCATGAAGAGGTGTATGTGGTCTCCAACAATCTCTAGGTAGGTGGTATATGTTTAAAATAACATCCACATGAATGTCAGGATCCAAGATATCCAAGCACGACATTGCCCAGAGCATAACACTGCCTCTGATGGCCTGCCTTCTTGCCTTCTTCCCATAGTTCATACTGCTGCCATCCCTTCCCCAGGTTTGTCTTCCAGGTTCTTAGCTGTTCCACACGATTTTGTGTTATCCACAAATTTGATAATCATTCCTCATCCAGGTAATTAATAAAAGTATGGAAGAGCACTGAGCCCAGGACTGAACCTTATAGTACTCCACTTTTTATCTCCTCCCAATTTGAGAGGGAACCATTGATAAGCACTCTGAGTATTTTGTAACCGACTGTACATCTATCTGACAATACTATCCAGACCACACCTAGTTGGCTTGCTAATCAGAATATCATGGGCACTTTGTTAAAAGCTTTGCTGAAGTCAAGATTGTATATTACATCTCCCAAAGTCTACCAAGGAAGTTACCTGATTAAAAAAATATATAAGATTGGTCTGGCAGGATTTGTTTTTGACAAAAAGTTCTAGTTACTACCGCTTTGTTTTCAAGGTGTTTATAGAATGACCACTTTATAATCTGCATTTTTAAATGTTCAGCAAGTAGATTTACCTAAAGCAATCTGAACAAGAATAAGAAATTTACAGTAGCATGCACATAAAGCTTTGCACTGAGTGTAAATGAATGAGGACATGCTCTTAGATGTGATTTTCATTTCATTTACCTTTCTTTCAATTCAGGAGTGGTTTATAAAATGGCAGTGGATATAAGATGAATAAATATATTAATAATATATTAATAATGCAATTAAGCATATTAGCCAGAATCCTATTATGCTTGAAAGTATTTATTTTTCTTATTTAAGTATATGTAGCTCCATTAGCAAAATCTCATGGCAAACTATTGCTATTTACAAAGTCAGCATAGGCATTAGCTGTCACACACCAATAACATGACTTGATATACAACAGTAAATGCATATGTGGACTTGCAATTCACCAGTAAATGTTATACTGATGGATTGACCCTAGGGCATTTTTTCAATTGGGTTACAGGACCATTAAGCTCAAAAAATTTTAAACTTGAAGAAAAAAGAGCATTTAAAAAGTCTTTTAAAAGAAAGTTGCTGTATCCTGATAAAGATTACTTTCTATGTTGTCAACTCAATGGTCAAAAACTGGCCAAAGAGAAAGAAGATCTTTCTCTCCCTGGTGTTTTATTTGGGGTAATTAAAAGCTTACAGGAGGCACTGAGACCTAATTCTCCATTCATATTTCAATGTACTGTAACTGTTAGTACTTGGGGAAATACATCTTATTTTTAAAATTGTTTTCTGGAGTCATCATGTATTAATGAGTGCTCATTATCTGATCAAAATTGCTATTTATCTCTAAAGGTCCAGTTTCCCAACCACAGACACCTACTATAGCACCTAGAGCCCCGACAATTTGTAGCGAAGGAGCATTTTAAGTCTTTTATCAATTTAGTGATTGAACGGTTTCAACATTTTGTGGAAACAGGAAACCTAACCAGCTTCAGAACTGTGGTTCGTTCCTGTGATGTTCTGTTCATTCTTTGCATCGAGCTTCTATTCCAAGGGGTTCCGACTGGGCGGGAGTTAAAGGCACATTCTCTCTGCTCTTTGCCGTTACCCTTTTCTGGATTACCTCAGCTTCTGATCGTCTCCCTGACAAATGCACAAACATCCTGAAAAATAGGAAGTTAAAAATTACATGCGGGCTTGAATTTTAGAAAAGGTACCTGTGCAAGAATATCAGGCAAAACCCAAAGAAAAAATAATAAACAATTAAAAAAATACAAAAACCTTGTGGCACCTTAAAAACTCATATATTTTAAGGTGAGCTTTTGTGGATAAATCCACTTTTCCAGATATATAGGTAAAATAACAGTGTTACTTTTCTAAACTTTCAGTAAAAAGGAGATTTGCCTTTCATCCCATTGCTCTCGAAGGCGATGGGTTCCTTTGCTATAAAAACTCAGTAACGAGAATGTAAGTTTGAACTTGACGCCTTAATATATTGTATACGAAATGAGATAACAAACACACGCTTCCTCCCGAGCTGCCTCGGTTTCTGGGAGTGTTTCTGCGAGAGGCAGCGCCCTCGGCGCCGTCCTGGGCAGGAAGTGACGTAATCTGTGGGCGTGAAGCCTTTTCCCGCGGTTTGAAAGAGACGGCGGAGGCACGGATTGGGGGGAGGAGGGGGCTGAAGGGGGGGCGTTCGTGGTTTCTTGCGGGCAGTTCTTTGAATTTAGGACCAAAACTTCTGTATGTGGCTGGAGGCGCCCAATATGGCGCCGACCAGAGCCCTG